AATACAAAGTGAAAAGACAGATGATGATCAAAGATGGGACTATCTAGTGTCTGAGAAGGAGCTGGACCAGATAAAGAAACACATCCACCGAGCAGAGCGAGCTAGAGGCCTCCGAGACCACAAGTATCGGCTGCCTCCTCAGAAAAGTCCACGTGAGATACTTTCCCCCAAAACATTCACCCTGGAGCATGAAAAGACGGAAACCATCCAGCGAAGACCCAGAGCTAAAACCAAACAGCACCAGCTGGCATGGTTGCAGGAGCAGATGCAGAGACATCGAGAGCGCATGATCCGAGGGCGAGAACTCGCAGAGCAGAGAAAGCACAAACGAGATGCTCAGAAACTCGCCGCCCAGGCTCCTCCTGTCCTAAAACCTCAGGCGAGGAAAGAGGAAGTGAAGGAATTCGAGCAGATCACAGGCTATCCCCTCATACAGCCTCGCTGGGAGGCACCCATAGAAGTGACTGTTCTGAGGGAAAAGTCCAGAGAGAGCAACGTTAAAAAACCCCTCCGAAGACAGCTCTTGAGGATGCCACCATTTTTGAGAAGTCAACTAGAAAATAAAATAAAATCTTTCTAGGTTACTGTATTTCTTGTTTAGGCCAGCAGACTTTCACAGCTGTTGGTGCAGTAAAATCCCATATCCTAATTTTGTGTCCAAGCGCATCAAAATGGGGGAGGGAGGGAGGAGTTAGACCATAAACACAAAACTTGACCTAAAGCACCATCTTCTCACAGCTCACAGTTCTGTATCGAGAATCCAGGCAGAGCCCAGCTGGGCAAGGCTCTGCCCCTGTAGCAGCAGCGGAGCCACGCGGGGACACTCAGGTGATGGCCGGGCTAGTCTGGGGGGCCCATGGCAGGAGCAGCTAGAAAGCTGGGTAGCTGGGCTAGTCCCCTCCCTTCCTCCCATCCCCGTGTGGTTTCAGGGCCTCATGGTAGCTGAACTTATTACAGTGACTCAGGGCTCTGAGAGGACTGTCAAACTCTGTAATGCTTCTCAGGGCCTGGGCTCCAGAGCATCCTTCCTGCCATACTGTGTTGCTCATCGAGTTGGCAAGCCTGCCCAGATGCAGGGGAAGAGGAAACAGACTCCTCCTCTCTGAAGTGTGCAGCCACATTTTCACCTCCTGCTCCCAACCCCTGAACCGTCTGTCACCCACAGAAGGAGCAAAGCAGGACACCTCCACTTCTGTAGCACAAGCTCTAGTGTAAGAATAGGGACTCGGGAGGAGGGCGCAATGGATGGGGCCTGGAGCCCGAGGATGCACCTGGACGGGACTCCTCGGGTAGCAGGGCAGTGAGGAGAGCGTGGCCTGCACCCCCGCAGCCAGCGCCGCACAGAGGAATGTGCAGCCCTGGCCCTGGGAGAGCCCCACAGGAAAAGGGTGCAGATAAACAGGTGAGCACACACAAGATGACTACGTTAAGAGCAGGTGCTACTCAAACACACAGTTCTGGAGTGGGAAAGGCTTTGGGTACTACCTTAGTTTGCTTTTTAAAAGATGGCATCTGTCAGTTGTTTGTTTTTCAATTCTGAAGTTGAAAGAGGAAAAAGTGGCCCCTAACCAACCTGCCCAGGTAACTTCTGTTGACAGTTTTTAAAAACAATGAAAAAGTGGACAGTTTACAAAGGGTATGGCATGCGAAGCAGCAGCTTTCCCCTTGGTGTGAAGAAGGTCACCACTCGCGTCTCAGTGGTGAGTGTGTGGAACAAGCAGAATGGAATGAAGGGGACGAGGAAGGCAACAGCCAAAAATTTATAATGTTAAGACCACACGTGATTCCATTGATGTGAAATGTCCAGAACAGGCCCATTACTGAAGACAGAAGTAGCAGAGAGAGAGAGTGGGTCAGCGGGGGGTTAGGGCCGAGGGGTGAGGAGGACAGGTGAGGAAGGCCGCGTGCCTGCTGACGGCCGGGCCAGGGCAACAGTGTTCTCCAGCTGGCTGTGGTGACGGGTGATTCCCAACCCGAGGAGACTAAACAGTGAAATACACGAACTGGGGGATGGCATGTGAACTCTCTCACCCAGGCCGTTTAACAAGAACGAGGAACTGACCAGTCTAGAGGAGGAAGTGAGCCAGAAACATAGGCAGAGGCCCTGATCGCAAGGGGCTGGACGTCACTGATGAGCTCAGGTCTTTCAGTCCTGAAGGCAGTGGGGAGTCCCAGATGGAAGGAAGGGGAGAATCCGAAGGGCAGACAGGAAGCGGGCACCAAATGGGTGGCTGTGGCAGAAACCAGGAAAAGACAGAATCGGGAGACCAGGGGAGAGTTAGTGACCAATTGGGGGAGGGCCGTGGGGGATAAAGACAAGAACTCACAGCTTCTGAGGAAGCAAAGCGGGAAGAGCGCCAGCACAGGCGGCGGGAGAGCAGCCCCCGTGCTGCCCAGGAAGCCTCTGTCCAGCTCCTGGAGCTGCTGAGAGAAGGGTCGTCGGTTTGGGAAGGTTCAGGATGCGATGTGTCTATCACGCAAGCAGGATGGTGGGAGGACAACGGGAAGCGTCAGACACAAGGATGTAGTTTTCGAGAAGCACATTTTCAGCATGTGCTCACTGGATCTTGGCTGGAAAGGAATCGCCAGTAAATCGCGTAGACCAGCCTCAGCCGAGCGGTGGGAAGGAGGTGCTGAACGGCCAAGATCAGGACTGGACGCTTCCACAAGGGGTCCTACTTACAGGAGACGGGACAGGAACCATGGGTCTCAGCATCTTGCTCAGATGAGATGAGATGGTGGAGGGGAAAGCACGAGGTGTGGAGAGGGAGGGGGATGACTGGCAGGGCGAGACGAGGAGGCAGGGGAGCGCGACCCGAGCCTTCCACAGACAGGCCCTCCAGCTCTGACTCAGGGAAGGAGTGAGCAAGGGCCGATGTAGAACGCGAACGGGAAAAGGAGCCCACTAGGGACTCAGAGCACTGGGCACAGACCTGAAGGCCCAGCAAAGACCAGGCCCTGGGAGCAGCCTGCATCCACCCGGTGTGGTCCCCTCTAGTGGCCAGCAGCCTCACGGACAGAGAACTGGCGAGACGGACCCACGGCTAGCTGGCTGGGAAGGTGGTCCAGCCTGGCTGCTTGTGTATAAATCATAGGCTGAGTGGCGTGACATTGCTGATACTTAACCACATTTTAGCACAAAGACTATTTTATGTGGTACCACCTGATGTGCGTGGAGCCGACTAGCTGACTGCACAGCTAGGGATGTAACAAGGACCATCATGATGTGTAGGCCACTACCAGCCGGTCTGAAACTTCATGGGACAGGACTGGAGAGAAGCCACTCTCCTGATGATAGAACAAAGAGGAACTACAACTACTTGTGAACAGGGCAGTGAATATCCTTTAATCAAAGACAACCATGACAAATCGATACACTATCAAAAGCTACAGTTTACTAAAAACAATCTGCCTTTAAAAATGTTCAATCATACAATATATACAACACATGCTGCTTTCCTTTCTGGATTTCACTATCCATTTGAGTCCTAAAAGGGGGGAGGGGAAATAGCTGGTTAACAGTTTAGAAGTTGAAAGTTGACTTAATATACAAGAATGCAACCTAAGAGCTAGCCCTCCTCAGTGCGTAGGCCCAGTTCACCCATCACACCTACCTGATGTCAGTACTCCCCTCCCACAGGACCCCAGAACAAAAGCAGCTCAATTGATTGAGGCACATGTGGAGAGTTTACGTTTTAACTCTCAAAATCATAACACTTCAGCTAGAAAAAGAAGCCTCCCCATTTTATGGAGATTCATAGTTCTGTCAGGCAAATGTGGCCGAGTGTGAGCAGGTGACTTGCCCGCCATCGTAAAGGGGCAGAGCCAGCCGAGTCCAGGTCTCCCAGGCCCCCCACAGCTGCCTGCAGAAGCCAGATCACCCGAGCCTTCCTTGCAGCAATGCACTCCTTCATAGAAAGGCAGTTCCCTCACAGCATCGCTCTTTGAGAAATGGCCATTTCCTAACTTCATCTTGAGGGGATCCCCCTTTTCTGCTTTGTACCCACAAAGTAAGCAAATCTAACGGGACACTGAACCAAACCGATGGGAGGCTTCCATATTCACTTATGTACCGTTGGGTCATGCTAGGGGTTAGAAAAGCCACGCCAGGAACTAGCTGCTATGCCTCTACCGACTGCCTACCACAGAGGGGATCAACCACAGGGCCTGCCCGGCCTTTGTCCCCAACAAGGGAGGCAATGGGCAGCACGACCCACACTTGCCCAGAATGTGCCCCGAGGGGTGGTCGGACCCCCGGAGCGTTTGCTAAAAGCCCAGGTGGCCCCCAGAGCCTTACCTTCAGCTGCCGTCGGCGCTCAGGCTCTGCCGGCTCGGGCCGGAGACGATCACGGGCTCCGAGATCTCAAAGGTCCGCACAATCTCCTGCAGAACAAAGAACAGGTGGGCGCTGGGCTGCGAACAAGGTCCGGGCGCGGGGACCCCCTGTGGGCATGGGCAGAGCCTTACCTCCCACAAGGTCCAGGCATGGGGACCCCCTGTGGGCATGGGCGGAGCCTTACCTCCCAGTCGCGGTAACTCAAAGCTATAATCCCTTGATTCCTGATTTGGGTGTTTTGGTCAATGCCCTCACTTTCCTCATTAATATTAACAGGCTCTGTTTGAAAGACAAAAGTTTTCAAAGGTTATCCACTCAGAAGAGGTAAGCTAAACAGGAACTGACGAATAACAGGAATGAAACCTGTATCGAGAAGATGATTCCAATTCTACCTAGTTATTGGGACTTCATGCATCACTGAGCTGTAATGTTGTTATAGTAGCAAGTCATCCATTTGTTTTCGTTAAAAAAATGTAGTCGAGCAACACAGTCTACCACTTGGAAACCTTGCATCTCTGCGTAGCAACCACGGAGCTGCGCCCTGGCGGTCTGCACTCTCTACGAGTTCTTACCAGGAGCAATTACTCAACTAAGAAGCAAAGGTTCTCTCAGGGAGCGAAGGCGCTGGCATTAGGAGAAACTAGGAAGAAAACTACAAAAATATCGGCAATGACCAACTTGCTAACTTAAAATTTGAGGGAAATTATATGATTTCTTGTTCATCTTGACAGCAGATGTTGAACCAAATCAATGATATAGATGAATCCATTGTTTTAAACTATGGCCACATTTTCAGTTGGTTGAGAAAGACACAGCATTAGAAGAGTTTGTTTCCTAAAGTGAAAACTCTTACATTTAGTAAAATACATAAGCCAAATAAATTTTCTCTAAAACTAATTTTCCTGAACATAGGATCATTTACCTATTATTGGCAGTCGGTCTTGGTCAAGTTTTATTCTTGCAAAACCATCCTAAAACACACAAAAAAATGATTTTAGAAGACTACAATTTAGATCCTATAACCACTGGATAAAAAAGTTAGTCAGAAAGTTTTGTATCTCAGACAGTGAAACTGACAACAGTCGGGCGATTACATGGACAAGACCAGAACGTTTTTCTTTACACGCCTCCCGGGCCTCTCACAGCTTTTCTACCCGACACGCCTCCGCCCCAGGATCTTGTGACTAAACTGTCTTCCTCCTTAACCGATACATGTATTTTTTTTGCATACTCACATTTTATTACGCATAATTCTATCATGTACCATTGACAAAATATGCCTGGTATCATTTCTGGGAAAACTTTGGTCAATGCAAGATTTTTGTCTCAGGTTAAGATCACTTTCCTCTTACATGTGCTGGAAAGCAATCGGTAAGACAGACAGAGTAAGCAAGCTCCTTAGCACTTTACCTCCTTCAAAGCAACTTCCCGCTGAGAGCTACAAGACTGCTGTACGACCTCCTCCACGTGCTGCCACACCCGCTGTATCACTCTCTGTGACACAGGGTGGGCCAAAGCAGGCTGACAGTGGTTTACGTGGAAAATACAATACTAATCCAGGGTTCCATGGCCGTGAGCCTCCTTTGGCCCACCTCGCATATGATATTACCAGTTTTCATGAGAGTACGTGATAGACCACGTGGCCCTGATGCTCCTTGAGAACAAGGAGATTCTACGTAACACGACAGCTATCGAACGCAGGGCGTGTACCGTGGACACCACAGTGCTAGCGAACCCACAGTTCCATGTTCACATTTTGCCAATCCTTTCACTGAAATTCTAAACGGGAAAGCAAGCACCTAAATTATGAACTTGGTTTAGCCGATGCTTCTGCCTCCAGGTCAGTTCCTATTTTGCAACAATGGGTCTACATTCACACTGGTTAGTACAACTCCTCTGCCAGCTCCTGCCACAGTTTTTATTATTTATTTTTTAAAAGCTCATAAAAGCAATTAGAGAAATAAGTCTTACCCTTACGATGAAGGAGACATGAAAGATGTTTTCCACCGTTCGAGGGAAAGAATGTGGGTCGACCACAAAGTCAAAGAAGGACATAGGCGTGTCGGCTACAGACAGAGGAGGAGAAATTCTTCAGGACGGGCGTGGCTGCTGCTCACCCGAAGCCCAACGTCAGTGCCAGCCGAGGAAGGACGGGCCCCCTGCTGTGGGCGTGTGAACAGATACGACCCTTCTGGGGGCAGTTTGGCAAATCTATCAAACCAGGCACGGCTCCTGGCCCCTCTCCCCACAAAGCTGCCCTAAAAATATTAGCACCTATGGACACAGGCAGGCCAAGCTTCCCTCCTGCAGCTCACGGGGAGTGAAGGGCGATAAGGCCTCACTCGCCTGCTGCAGCGGGGCTGATCAGTTGGTCTACGATGCAGCTGTAGAGTGGGGGTCACCGACAAGAATAAGGGGACCCCACGCACTGAGAGGAAAGTGTCCACACGGAAAAGTCATGCTGCAGAAGAATGTGTGCATTGTCATCAGCTTTGAAAACCCCACAAAACACCCTATGTGCCTATTCATAGGACTGCATAGCTCTGAGACCATCTGCGAATCTACCCAGCACGTTACAGGTGGCTGCCGCTGGGGAGGGGGAGTGGTGGGATGGGACACATCTAGCAAGTAGACTGCTCCATCTGGAACTTGGCGTCTTACTTACGATCTTCTCGGAAGTATGTCTGCAACAACCCTAAGATCCGTTCTACTTCTTTTTCTGTGGCTTCTTGCTGAGATTCTTCCATTCTTTTTAGCTGAAAATATAAAGTTGTCATCAAGCCGACTGTCACGCAGCGAACCTCCTGCTCTTCCCCAGGCACCTCCTCTAGGTCTCTCCCGGCTAACAGTGTTTATCGCTGTCTTAAAGCTTACAGAGCTTTTCAGGAACATTCCCTAGGAATTCCTCACATAGGAGTAACATGACCAAACCAGCCACCTTCAGGTGGAGCATAAAACAGCAAAACGCAAAAGGGTACTTTACAACAGCGCTCACACCTGGGTGTGGTTGGCCTCTGGGGACATTGCCAATATGTGGCTGCCCCCCCGGGTGGGGAGGAAAGCTGTTCCTGGCATCCAGTGGGAGATGGCCAAGGATGCTGCTGAACATCCCACAGGCACCAGACCAAGCCTCGAACAAGAACTTCCACCCCACGCGTGGTGTCGGGAGGTTGAGAAACCCGGGCTTAGAACTGACCCCAAGTACTGGATGCGTTAAGACTAAGACCAATGGTCAATCCAATAAAAAGTTTAAAGACTCAAATAACACGACTATTTAAGTGATTCCAGACCCCAACGCCTCAACAAGATGGCCAAACTGCACGTCCACCGCACTCGTGCTGTTCCCACGTCAGGTGCTTCACGAACCTGGACAGGCATCTCCCGCTCCTTCTCCAGCGCACAGATCCTCCTGGGGCGCTCAGCACGCGGCTTCGGCACAGGGCACTCGCCCTGGATGGAGCCCAACCTAACGGAAAAGGTGCTCTCAGGAGCGGCTCCCGTGGGTACCGGCCTTCGGGCAGGTATGCGGGGAGGCCCACGGCTCCAGCAGAGACCCTGGGCTCCCTGCCCCACTCCCTCCCAGAAGGCCCGGTGCAGACGGAAGCCACAGCGATAGGTGTATCTCGCTGAGGCCAAGCCCCAAGAATTCAGACCCCCATGGCCCCTACACCTGAGCAACCAAAGGACAGAGTGTAGGCAGGTGTGTCCTGTGCCCTGTAGGTCCCACGTGCAGCCTGGAGCACCACCCCGAGCCGGCCGCCTGGCCCTGCACTCACAGCTCCGCTGGAGCAGCTACCGGAGGCTCAAAAAACCATCGCAGGCGCAGGGTCACAGGCCGGCTGGTGAGTAAGGGGACGCTGCCCAAGGCCAGCCGTCCACCTGGGAGCTGACAGAGCCCAGCCCTCAGCAGCCAAAGACCCGGAGTCCGTCCCACAGAGCAGAGGCCTGACCTTCCCACCCGAACAGAGAAAGGGGTCGGGCCCCGGCTCCGAGGCCTGTTAGGCAGGAACCTGTCCCCACGAGGACCCTCACGGGCCCCTCAGCCCCCCGAGACACCAAAACCAGCCAGGGCCAGTCTCGAGGTGCTGAGGGCGATCAGGACGCACGGACGCCCAGCCCGCCTCCTGAGGAAGACACACGGGGCCTGGACAAGGTGCCCTGAGACAAGGTCCTCCTCTGCACTCGGTCTCACAAGAGCCCGCGGCGTGTGCGCTTCCCCATCGGCTGAGCGGGAAGTTCAGACAGAAATGAGGGCTTTTGGGGAGAGAAACTCCAAAACCAGAGTTGTATCCAAAACCAAACTGGGCCCTAACCGGTGTGGCTCAGTGGATGGAGCGTCAGCCTGCGGACTGAAAGGTCCCGGGTTCGATTCCGGTCAAGGGCATGTACCTTGGCTGCAGGCACATCCCCAGCGGGAGGTGTGCAGGAGGCAGCTGATCAATGTTTCTCTCTCATCCATGTTTCTGGCTCTCTATCCCTCTCCCTTCCTCTCTGTAAAAACTCAATAACATATATTTAAAAACAAAACAAAAAAAAACCAAACTGGGCAGGTCACGTGGCAAGTGACTCAAACAGCCTTCAAACGCAGGAGAGCAAGCGTCCGAGCGGGAGCATGACACACGCACTTCACACGTGTCCGTCTCGTGGTGCCGAGGGGCACGGTCTCTCTCCGAGGACCTTATGGATGAGACAGAACGGACCGGACGCAGGGACTCGAGGCTCCCTCACCGCCAGGAGGGCCCGCCCTCAGCCTTCCCTGCCTCAGACAGACCCAGGTCATGGGCTATAAACCAGTTCAGCCTCTAAGCAATGGCTCCGATCAGCCCTCTGCAGCACCACGTGACGTCTGGGCCTACGTTCAAACACAACTCAAACACAACGTACGGTTTACAAATGGCTGGCCCGGTGGGTAAAGAGCCTTACAGGAAGTGGAATGTATGGGTTTTATTAAAGGTGTTTTCTGCCGTTTTGCCTGATATTCTCCAGGAGTCGTAGACGATGAACTCAAAGTCCGGGCTGTCGTCCTCACGGACCAGCTCCTCGGCTTCCAGCGGGTTCACGCCCATGTGTGTCAGCTACAAACGCAGGGAAAAACCCAGGTAAGCCACAGCAACCGTTCACCACACCGAGCCAGCCTCTCTCGGCGTTAACGGCCCACAGGCACCGTCTGTGTCCGTGTGCAGACCCGCCGGCTGCACTTCTATGACCAAGATCACTTTATTGATAAATCCCATTTTAAAAGCACCTGCCATGGGCAGAAGGTAGTCCTCAGTGCACCGAGGACTGAGGGAGAGAGCGAGCTGTGGAGACATCTGTGGGTGTCACAGCTGGGTGCGGGGCTCTCCCAGCATCGAGTGGGTGGAAGCCAGGGATGCTGCTACATCCTCCCTGGTCCAGGCCCCAAACGGCCCCGGAGCCAGACGGGACCCGGCTCTGGCCCACGCAGCTCATGTGTAAAATGCTAGTAAAATACTAGTTAGGCTCTGCCAGCATAAAAACACGCAATCACGCCCCAACCACACGCTCCAAGACAACAGGGAAGCTGAGCTGCGTTGGGATTCTCATTTTAGCTGACCCTGACCCTGCTCAGTGGTCTCAGCACCCAGAGACCAGGCCCCTGAGCCCCTCCTCAGCACCCAGGGGCCGCGGGCATGGGGGAGGGTGGCCCCCGGGCAGCCGCCTTCCTGGGGAGCTGGCGGGAGTGCGTCCTCTCTCAGAGGAGCTCGCAGAAAAGGCGACACACTCTCTCTGCTAGGAGAGCACGTGGTCGTTACGTTATACGATTACGAAGCGTCCACAGGTTATCGAACTAAAATGGTCTCACCACACAGAGCGATCGTCAAAGTCCTCCGAGAGCGTAACCCCCGGAAGGCAACCCCACTCGGGGGAAATCGGCTGCTGGAAGCAGGTCAGAGGGCCCGTCAGCCCCCGCGTCTCCTGCCCCTTGCCCCTCCCCCACCCCCTCCAGCTGCCCCTCCACCCGGCCGCTGCCCACTTGTAGGGATGTCCCGACTCCTGTCCGGTCGAATGCACTGCCTTTTCTTTATCATTTATCGGCTCTATTCTTGGCGTCCTACTTGGAAAGTTCTTCCCCACGTGGACGCTGGACAGCTATTAAGTTAGGGTTTTATATGGAATGCTTTAGACTTCTGAAACTTACTTTGATAGGTTATTTAAAGTACAGAGCTTTAGCCCGATAAATAAAAGTAAGTTTTAAAAAGATGACCCAATATCAGGTCACTTTGCTGAGCGGTACTTGAGTGCGCCTTTTAAAAAACGCACTAACTTCAAAATAAAAAGGTTTTTTTAAGAACAGAGAAAAATGTAAGATCTGAAATTTAAATAATTTAAATGTTTAAAGAATTCTAAGGTTTTAAGAACAAACGCCTCATACCTTTACAAAATAATGAATTTATCTGGTCAGATCTCATGGTACTAAATCACGTAATTACATTTAACAAACATCCAGCCGGAAGGTCACCGACCCAGCAGAGACCTGAGGGCAGAAGTGAGCACAGAGCAGAATAAAAAAGACAACAGGAGAAAAAAGGTCCCACTGTGCGTGTCAGGGCAACTCATCACCGAGAAGTCGCACAATTTCAGGTAACAACCACCACGCAAACGCACTAAGAGGCAAAGAAAAATAAATAAAACAGGAAAAGAAAAAGAACCCCAATCGTATTCATATGGTTCTGAAATATCATATTCTCAGACCGACTCACACACCCGCCCACCAGCCCTGACTGGTCGCGGGGAGCCGGCCCTGCAGCCCTGGGCTAAGGCCCGTCACCGAGAACAAACGAGGAACTTGAGGAAACCGCGCGGCCGTTTGTACGTCCACAGCCCCGTCCACAGCCCCGGCGCCTCGGAAGCTGCGATTCCAGCTGCTCCGCCGGCCCCGCAGCTCTCCTGCCCCCGTCTAGCTGGTGAGCCTCTCGCCAGGACTCCGAGGCCCAGGAAGGAACCCGGAGTGACAGCCATTTGCGTATGGACACAGCAGAGCAGACAGCTGGACGACGGAACTTTTTTTTAAAGATTCTGTCGCCGTGAACTTACGAGAGTCTCCACGTATCTTAACATATCGAAGGAGTTGAGATCGGACCGCAGCTGCTTGGCCTTCTCTTTGCCCAGATCTGAGGCCAAAACAAGAAAGTGGGCGTCCAGGACGGCCTCCCTGGCTCGGGACACTGTTCAGGAGAGAGACACGCGTTACC